CTGGAAAATTGCATAGACCCTTCAATTTAAAAATTTTAATTCCTTTATTCTCCCTACGTGTTTTTTTGCTTATATTCTCCACTTTGAACTCAGTGACAGTTCAAAGAGAGTATTATGATTACTGAGAATGCTTTGTTTAGAGTCAGAAAGAATAACTTAGCATTATTTTCTTACAAAGTATCCAGAGCTCAGACACAGTAAAAGATGAACATGAAAAGTATGCATACATCTTTTCTATCACATTATTGGTAATCACAGAGAGCAGCAACTTCAGAAATATTTTCAGTAGTTTCTCTAGTTTAACATTAAATACTAAATCTCAGCAGGCTTGGTGATTTTTTTTTACTTATTTCTCTTATCCAGAAAAAAAATTAAGAAAAATTGAATAAATTAAAAACCAGTAACATTTTAATATGTTATATTTTTACAGACAAAAAGGAAAGGATAGCACACTTTCTTTTTTTCCCCCCACCAACTGGTAACAAGGAAGAAAAGCTAGGTTTTTAGAATTTGACAAACTCCTGGAAAAATAGGTGGTAGAAAATTTTACCAATTATTTCTGAGCCTGTAGTTCAAAAAGTCCATAAACATCTCCCACCTACAGCTTAAGAAGGTATGCTAATTGAGAAGCTCTGCTCCTGTGCTGACCTTTAAACTACTAGGCATTAAGGCAAAATCAACTAAACAGACCTTTAATGTACCCGAAAAGGCAGTTCTGACGTTGTATATTGAATACTACATATTAAAGCAGCATCAAGGCAAGTTCAGATTGGACATTACAGAAAGGTTCTTCACCAGGAGGGTGCTCGGTCACTGGAATAGTCTCCCCAGGGAAGAGATCATGGAATGAAGCCTGTCAGAGTTCAAGTAATGTCTGGATGATGCTTTCAGTCATATGGTTTAGTTTAGGCAGTCCTGTGAGTTGAACTCGATGATTTTCAACTTGACACATTCTAGGTTCTTCTATACTAATAAATAAATAGGCTTATTTTAAGAATTAAATTTTTCACTTTAAGAAATACTATAATTACTTTTTTGGTTATATGCATATGCAGCTTTCTAAACCATATATAGAATTTAGACCTGGTCTATCCAAGCCAGTGGAAATATACTACTTTGAATGGAGATTTAAGCAGCATAGCAACATAGCACTGACAAATTTTTAATGCATGAGAATGAGAAATAAAAACTTTTGAAAAGCTCTGAAAATTAAGAACTATAATTGGACTTAGAGATTATGAAACCACTGTTCAACTAAAATGGCATAATAAAACTTAAAATAGATGGAAGCAACTCTCTGCTTACAATTGAAATACAATAGAAAAAAATTACAAAAATAAGATGTCTTAACCACAATCCCTCCTCATTTATCTAAATGGGACTTATTAAATTATAATGTCACTGACAAGGAAATTACAAAATTGAAAAATACTACTGCAAGAGGAAAATCTTTGCAACACATTGCCTACTTTTAGTGTGCTTGAGTGCATACTTAATTTGAAAAAGAGGGGACTGTAGGTCCTTTGCAAGGAATACACTGACCGCATTGTTTTCAGACATTATAACCTCTCTAAAGAGAAATCTTTAAAAAGGATGTGTCCCTGATATTAGAGAGGGAAAAAATCCTTCTGCATGTGTGACCCACCAACTCCTCTACAGAAATGGTCCAGAAGACAATGAAAAAGTAAATTAAAGGCCTGAAGGATATGTTGTTACCAACTTTCTCATTAGTAAATCTCCTCATGGTGTTTAAGGTGTAGGCTCAACATTTCTCTGTATCAGTGGCAGTTCAGTGAGATAATGGGTCCACAAATAGAAAGGAGAAAGCTTTTAAGCTTGTGATGTTGCAGTTAGAAGATCCCTCTCTGTTCCCAACCGGTTCTGACAATGGACAAAGGCTTCTGCAAAAGAACTGCAACAGTTCCACTTTTCATTTTCTCTTTTATTAATTTCTCTTGACTTACCCAGATGTGTCATCCTTATCACAGAATCTCTCAATATTTAGAGTACAATGAGAATGAAATCCATGCTAATCTGGATGACTTCCAAAACTGCAACAAAAGATGTTTACCTGCCTCATTTTTTGTTGCAAAGTTATGTGCTAACTCCAAGAAACGGTTGTAGTCTTTTAAAATTAAAGAAAAGGATTTGTCATTTTCTGTAGTAGATAAACCAGCATGAAAATCACAGTTATAATATGAACACAAAAGCTTCATTCTCAGAATAACCACAGCCTTTTCACAGGATAATTATTAATCTTGAACATTTGGTGCCACTTATGGTTCTTCATATCTGCCTCACCAGGCTGCATGTAACACAAAGTCCCAAACTCAGCCATTGTTTATCATCTGCTCTGGGAATGAATACAGATACTGAGATTTTAATACAAAAATTAGTCTGGCAATCAAAGCATATTCTACATTTAATAAAAAATATTCATTTCATTAATCTTTTAATAGGATCACAGGATAATGATCCTAAAGAAACATGATTAGCAGGTCAAGAGAGGTGATTCTGCCCCTGTACTCTGCTCTCATGAGACCCCATTTGGATTACTTCATCCAGCTCTGGAATCCTCAGCATAGAAAAGATGTAGACCTGTTGTACTGAGTCCAGAGGAGGGCCACAAAGATGGTCAGAGGGCTGGAGTACCTCTCCTATGTGACAGGCTCAGAGATTTGGGGTTGTTCAACCTGGAGAAGAGAAGCTCCAGGCAGACTTTATTATCAGCCTTTCAGTACTTAAAGGGGACTTATAAGAAAGATGGGGATGGGATTTTTAGTAGGGTTTGCTATGATAGGACAAGGGGAAGTGCTTCAATTCATGCCCATCATATCACACCATGTGAAGAACTTTGCTGCATTTCTTTAATGACCTCCCTACCAGCACCAGGAGCTATTGCTAAGTGCCCTTGCAGCACCCTCTTCTCCAGGATGAATAAGCTCCAGTCCCACAGCCTCTCCTCACAGGACAAATAATCCAGTCCAGATCATGCTGGCTGCCTTCACTGAACTCACTTCAGTTTGTCAATGTCTTTCTTGTACAGGAAGGGCCAAAACCTGAACACAGTATTCTGGATGCATTCTAATAGAATATCACTATGTGTATCCTGCACCAAACCACTGAGTCCTTTTAAAGATTATTTCAAGTCTTGCTTTCATGTTAAAAGAAAAAACCAGAAGCGTTATTGAGCTATTGTTATCATCTTCAAGTGACACTACAAAAAGCCTACTTTATGATTGTAGAGCTAGTAGTTCTCATTATAGGATCATAGGATCACTTAGTGATCTCGTTATAAATCCTGTTCTTGAAAGAGCTTATGTACCCAAAACCCAGAAGCCGAGATGAAAACATTGCCTGGATGTGTGAGACTGGACACTCGCACATTCTGTACATCATGTATGTACACAGGGAAAGTGACATCTCAGCAGACAATTCAGACCTTAATCTGTGAGGGATTCTCAAATTATATATATAATACATGAATTACATAGCTTACTCACTACAGTCTGATGCAGTTAATGCAGCAAGGCTTAATCCCTGCTGACAACAGTGACATCAGAGTTCAGCACTTTCACTTAAAAGTGACCCATGGGGACACCATCGCTCTTCAGAGGAAATCTGGGGCTGTAGATATATGAATTCTGAACCCTTGGAGGCTAAAAAGCTATATCTGCCCCCAGCCAGACTAGGCAGTCTGAGATTTCCTGCTGAGGTTCTGCCACTGTTCAAAAAGGATGGCAAGACCTGGCAGTGCCAGAAAACAAAGGAAGGCAATGCCATAGCCCAGGAAGGCACTTGGGAGGAAAAGACTTTGGTTCTAGCTGACTAACCAGGATCACATACTTCACTCACCAAATTTTAAGTGCAAAATGACCTTTTTCTCCAATGCAGTCTCTGAGGCATAAAATCAGGCTCTGCCTTCATGACATGGAGCCGTTCTCTGGTTCCATGGCTTCTCAATTTGTAATTGCAAAATATCACATAATACAGGTTAAGAAAAGTATAGAAGGCTCATCTTCTTGAGTGCTTGAATTGAAGTCTACTGGGCAATATATCGACTCTACCTTACTTTCTGGCTGTGATTTAAATGAAGCAAATGAGACAGTCTGCTTGAGGTAAAGTATTGGATGGGCCAACCACCAAAATTATTCATGCACTTATGTTCAAAAGTGAGTGTTTGAGCATTTCGCAGTGGATCTCACTAGATAATTTCAGAATTCAAGGTCAAAATACACTATGAGGACTGTGAAATGGCAAGATCACAGAACAAGTATCCAGTTGGAATAGCATTTAAGTAAAATACAATTGAGTTTGAAATACTGTACAAGAAAAAGTAATTCAGGCACATTTGTGGTACCCAGATGGGTTATTTTTGTATGTGGTTTTTTTTACATAGCTTTAATTATGTGAAGTCCTCAAGGATTATAATTGTCAAAAATATTTGCATAGATAAATAATTGAAACTAAAATAAATGTGAGTCAAACCATCCTTTGGGAAAGCTCAAGCTCCAGAGGTGTCACTATTTGTCTATTTTCTCATCAGAAACATGACTAGACATTTCTAACAAAATCCATCACCCAGCTGCATGATGAATGAATGCTGTGAGGGCTGTACTGTCCTAATGAACAGCAGCATAAATTTGCTTGAAACATTTAAATTCTGATCATAATCCCCATCTTATATATATGTAGCCAGTTTTGAATTACAAATGACAATCACTACCTTGCTAAAGCATTGATCTATATCGGTGTTTCATTGTGTCCTAAGCACAAAGAAATGCTTTCCAGTCAGTCAGTATTGCCTTAATATCCCCAGAAAGAATGCAAAAAACCTGTTGCCTCTATTTATAAACTTGGGATGGGTGTATCAGTGGACATAAAAAACAACCAGACATATTGCCTCATACTGAAAAAAAAAAAGCATACAACCAGATTTCAATTGTCTAGCAAGTATAGAACAAATTCAAGCTTAAAAAAACCCCTTGATTTTAGATTACCTTGGATACTCTGTTCGCAACCTCTCTGCCTACTGTCAGCCCCTGAACAAAGGTCCGTGCAGCAATGAACGCTCTAGTCACTTGAACCTTCAGCTTCCTGGGTACATCTCCAAATGGCTTCAGCTGGTCTGTGTACTTGCTTACACACTCCAGGTAGTCCTCACTGAAGTGGTACTGGGGGTTTATGAGCTGGAACATCCGCTCCAGCAGCCGAGCCCAGAAATCATTCAGCATTTCCTCCAAGTTCACATTGCCTCCCGTGTAATACCGCTTCAGCTCTGTGAAGAGGTCCTGGAAAACCTCAGAGTTTTGCATGTACAGCATGCCGTATGTCCGAACAAACATGTCATTTAAGGATCTTTCTGCATTCTCCAGAAGTTCTCGGAAAAACTCTGAAGGGAAAAAAAGCAGGTGTTAACAGCTATAACAGTAAGGTATGAAAGGTTTTCTAACTGCATTCCTAATATATCACAGCTTGTATTAATATGTTCTTACCACAGCACTTTACTATTGAAATTCATCATTAGGATAGGAAATTGCTTTATTTACAGGTTAAGGATAATAGAGCATAAACTGAATTCCCCAACAACGTAGAAAGATGTAGAACCAATAACACTGAGCATGAAAAACACGTTTAAAAGAACTTCGGTGAGAGCAGTTACACTTCTTCTTCGTGTGCTATTTGAATAGGAATCCCTGCCCCTTGCAATATCCTCCATAGCCAGTATACTAAATATTCTAAGCTAAAAGTAAAGTCATTAATACCATGATTTAACTGAAAATGTAATGATTTTAGAAGTTCTGTTTTGATTAAATTTTTTACAATGTAGAAGAAAACCACAGAAATAAATCTGAATATTTATTTGCAAATATTCTTGAAGAGAAGTTGAAAGAGACCTGAGAGGAAATGATAATTCTTCTTAAAAGTGTTAAGTGTTAACATGTCTAGGTAATGCTAAGCAAATGTTAGTATTTTCAATAGCTTTTTACTTTACTGAAAAATAGTGCTTGAACCCTCCACCAATCATGTCACAACCATTCTATTAACTTCATTTTGGAAGAGCAGACCTTAAATTTTTTTTTAAAGGGTTTCAGACTACTGCTTCTGTGTCTTGTATCTACCCAGGCCCAAACCAAAACCTACTTTTAAATTTTGCCTTGTGGAAATTATTCTTATTGGAAACCAAGCCCATGGGATACAGGGGCAATACGTAATCATCTCTTCTGTTCAGATTCTTGGTAGTTAGGTTTTCCTCAAAAAAAGCACAGAGTGTATACAACAGTTCTTTAAACACAGCTGACCAAAGTAGGCATAGTGTCTCCTGCTTTTCAGAAGATCCCATCTTCCTATAGGGTCTGTTCTCAACCTCAAACCACCTTTGGAAAAGAGTTCTATAACTTCTGTGGCCTGTAAATGGGGCATTGCAGACAGAAATGTAGAGAGGGCAAAACCTTTGGCAAAATACATATATTTAATGCAATTAAATGGTTTTTAGTGATTGCAGGACTCTTCACACATCAACTCTGGGATACCAGATGCTAAATTTGTGGTCATTGCCCATAGACATATCTGTGTGTGCTAACTGCAGGGATGTGCTGACTTCTTATAATCTTGGCTAACGATATAATGTGAATACTCTTTTAACATACTGCCCTGCTGCAGAATCATTGCATGCTAAAGATAGGATGGAATTTAAGACTACGTAAGAAAAAAAGTCACATTAAATTCAAGGATTTGCAACTGTGATCTGCTAAAAGCAGAATCCACCAAACACTGTGTGCCAGTCTACCAGGACTCAGTAAGAAAAGAAACTGTTATTTTTGGCAGAAGTTGTGCAGAGTTGCAGTCTTTGGTCTCTCAGATAACTGGAAAGGGGTTGCTATGAAAATGTATACACAGAACATTGAGAATATACTAGCTACATCAAAGCATTTATTATAGGGAAAACAGTCTAATAAATATATGAATGTCTAAACTGTCATTAAAACCACAGTTCTTCATAAGGAATAAATTCCATCTGGAAAAGGAGAGGCTTTTGCTAAATAGTTTATGTAGGAAAAGAACAAAAACAAAACAAAACCAAAATTAAAGAAACAAAAAAACCCCCACAATCAAAATTTTGTTGCCAAATAGAATAATTCAACATCTACAACCTACAGTCTTCTGTTTAAGGGAAAAGCGAACAAAGATGTTTTTCACTGTTAACCCTGATATGGTGGTATCTTTGACATCTGGATCACTTTGATTATTACTTCATACATCCAGTATTTCGTCTTCTAGAAATAACGCACACTGTCTGCACTGCTGAATACATGTAGCTCTCTAGTCACACAATCTGGAAGGCAAAAAGATGGCAGAGAACCTGGGGCTTAAATTAAAATTTGGTTTAAGTTTGGAGCCAGGATTTCATACCAGTGCAATTGAGTGACAACTGGGAAAGATAGTCATGAAAACAGTGAATCCAGGTCCCTTGTCTTCTCTCCCAAAAAGGCTGTGTATGCTGGGAGGATGCTACAAGCAATTCACATGATGGTTCCTTGCAATCCCTGTCTATCCTGTGAGTCTCACTATTCATTTTAAAAGATCATGACATTGCATAAGTCAATCACAGCAAAGCTTAACTGAGTTTGATGACACTCCTTGTCTATGATTGTTAGCCCACTCTTTCTTTGTTTAGGGATATTACTTAATCTCCCAGTTAGCTTGTTGGAAGCCAACCAAGAGAGGTAGACATGTATTCTCTGCTTGTGCAGCACCTAGCACCATGTGGTCCATGCTGGTCACAATCTTTATTTATACTGTGGTACAAACATTATTAGTAAATCTACAAGCTTAAATTTCATGCTATTCCAAATGCGACACCATACATATTAATTCTGTAGGAAAGCTAATGTCTTCTAAACAGTAGTACATTTATTTAATTTTTAGTCTTCTTACAGGTCTCTAGTCTTCGAGAGCTACTGCTTAAGGCAAATTATGCCATTAAAAAGTTAGACCGTTAGTCTTCTGCACACTTTGATACAAAAGACAGTTTAAGAGAGCTATCTGCATCAGTAACCCTATGCAGGATCAGAATAATAAATCAACAACTACAGAATTAGATACCTTTTTAGTTCCAGACAGAAACAGATCTCACATGTTGTAGTAATTAGAGAAATTCTCAATCAACTCCCATCCAGCAAAATTAATGCTACTGTGAATGATTGCTTGCTTTTTTAGTCTGCAAATCTTCCATATATCAAGAAAGGAGTCTGCTCTGCAATGCTTATGTATAGAAACAGTCCTGACACAACTATGTACTTGTTCAGTTATGTCAGGAGAAACTGTATGTGCTTCTGCAAAGGCTGAATTTTTCCACGGTCTTCCAAGTAATGTAAAAATTTTATGTTCATTGAAAAGATGATATTTCATCAACTTGCAGGTAGTTTTTGAAAAATAATGTAACATTTCAGCTTAAAGTAAAAGAATGAAGATGAGACATACATTAGTCATATTACTTAATGTGCTCCTGGAAGGCACTCAAGTACTAGGTGGGAGAGGAGAATCTATATAACACAGAGTTGTGCAGTGTTTTAAAGTATATATCTTGTGAAATTTTTTTGCTGCCAAAATAGGATGTCATGAGCAGTGTTAATGCTGGAAATAATTTTTCCTAATTTTAAGTGATGATTCATTTATATGACCTATATATGTCCCGGATATTTCTTATGTTACAAGCATGTTTTTATTCAGATCTCCTTTATTAGCCAGAGGGTCTAAGGAAGCCCAATCACTTCTATGAGGTAGTTGGAAAAAATAAGGTCTAAGGTACACTGAGATACTGAAAAGATGGAGAAAAGATTGCTATTTCAAACCATTACATGCTCTATATAGGCTTAAATGGAGAGCGTCCAGTCCATGGATCACACTTTAGTTAGTTTTCATTTTTAAAGATTATTTGTAAATTTAGGATGCAAGATAGGTAGTAACAGTCTCTGGAAACAAAGTGTGAATTGTTTTTAAATGTTTTATCTATGATAAGACAACACAGTTACAAAATGAAAAACAGAATTGCTGGAGTCTCTTACTGAATGGTTGGTACAACTCAGATTAAAAACAGGGTCTTCTTATCTGTCACTATCTTGTCAACTGCAAGGTGAGATTTTCACTCTATTTTTACATAGGTAAACTAGTGCTATAATGCAATTCAACCTGGGAGCTAGCCTAATTCCAGTGATGACTAGCTGTCACCATGAGTCAAGTTGGACTTATTGAATTGGATCAAGACTGCGGATAATATTGCAGCATGACATGATGCAATAATTGCCTTCAACAAAATATATGCACAAACATCTAGAAGCAATTTTTAGAGACACAAAATTGTATTATGTTTGAGTGGATATTCTATGAATATTCCCAGTCTGATAAGTTCCCTTGTATTTTCTTTTCCATCTGTAATTTAAGCAAAAGCAACACCTGACTGTAGGACAACATGCAAAGGTAGGAACAGTTTGTTGTTTGATTCCCAAGCCCAAAAGTATATGCACGAGCTTTAAGACTAAAGAGACAAACAGACAATTTCGTTTAATTACCATATATTCTGCATAGCTTTCCTTTTTTAGCAGAACTTGAGACCTGAATGCCATACTATGGTGCATCTGATGCATTGCACATGCTCCTAACTGAGAAAAATCCAGCATAGCTGCACAGAGCTCTTCAGCATTAAGAAGCATTTACTGAGAAGACGTACATATATCTACACCCTGTGTGGATTTTGGGTACCTAATTTCATTGAGCATTTGTCGTAAGGCAAAAATTGTGTGAACAATTTCCTTTGCATTTCTGTGTGTTTCACCTTGGCATGGCTGGGTGCAGATAGTAAAAAATGCTGCACCACTAATATGGCTGCAGGCCTTGTGCCAAGATGCCAAGGAGGAGTTTTGGCAGGTGAATAAAGTTTTCTCATCTCCTACGACCACCTGTTGTGGTCCAATTAGCAGTGGACAGCAGAGTATGTTTTCCTTATGTAACCAATGTAGTGTGAACAAGAAGCTGAGCGTCATGAGCACTATATAATCTGTGTTTCTCCTAATACAGTAGACATTTTGCCTGATCATATTGATCCTGGAGCACTCTGTCCGTACCCTTCCATCAACAAGCATTCTTTAAATTCCCCGTCCTGATAAGGCTGACAGTAAGAAGAATATAGGAATTCATGTAAAGTGACTATGGTTTCTGACAGAGAGGTCCTTTGGGGGTTCTTT